TTGCCTTCGAGAACGGTAGATTTGACTTGCTTGGTCCATCATCTCCCTCTAGCCCGCTCTCTACTACCTGAGTTGATCGCGGTGGGTATTCCGATTCAATAACATCGATATCTTGCAGTCCCTTCTCCTCAGCGTTCTCTGGATCCACTGCAGGATGTTGGTCAATCTCTAGCTGTTTTGCCATCTTTATAATGACAATGGGTAATTATAGTACTCTGGCATAGTTCCTGAGCACTAAATTATGGAAAACACCCCCGCCCGGCGAGTGTTCAAATAAGTATGACATTCCGCCATCGCGACCGAGACAGGCGCAACGTCTCGAGTACTAACACTTTAGAAATTGCTTTTCCAAAACGGGCAGCATTAATGGTCGGTTATTCCAATAATTCCCTTTTCTGAGCCAATCATCGTTGTTGGTATTTGGGAGACTCTGCATTGGAAAAAGGAAAAAAAGGAACAATTCAAAGGCTCTACTCCTCTCCCGGAAGCGATGTCGGTTCTACATAGGGAGCGATGTTCCCCCGACCTAAGAGACGGTGTTATCCCTAATCGTGCCGCGCCAAGAATGAATTTATCCATAGGTAGCATTACGTATTAGTACGGTCTTCTCTATGTCGATAAGTTCAGGCCGTTGATCTTAGAATGCCTTGAGGATATCTTTGTGTTGGTTAACTTGAGTTTTCCAATTTCAAATTATGCCACCAACTGACCCCTGCTAAATCAACGTGATACAAATCAAAGTGTCCGATATGCAATTAGACAGGTTATTAAAGAAATCTACCAGGTACGTACATATCGCAGATGCAAGAAATTTGACAAGGAATTGCTTGTCTGAGGCAATTGCAATTCAGCGAACTACTTACTTCCTGTACCTACCTTGTCAATCGTTCAGTCGCCTTACCTTTCAATTATATCATATGTACCTCAGCCAACAATCAATGGAAGTAAGGTATCCAGTTTACAAGGCCCAAGCTTCATATTCTCGCGTAGTCGCGTTCCTTCCTACATACATGCAAACGGAAACTCTAAAACAAGCGGCGCTGCTGCCTTGGAATAGTGGACTTAGGATGGAAAGTCACGTTGCTACGCGCATTATTGGCGTAAATTGGTGTCCATCTTTCCTGCCTCGGCGTGTGTTGCCTAGAGGAAATTATTGTAACTCGCGTTTCCAGTCAATATTTAAACATCTATCCAACCCTCTTTCATGTCCTCGACCGTCACCAACAATACCAAAGTTCTCAGTTTCGTACATTCCATCATCAACGTCATCCCCTAGTGTCAATTGGTTCGTCAATTATTGTAGGCCGTGAAGATTATAACTACAGAAAGTTCTCAATTACCTTAGGTACCTACTTTAGTACTCAATTGCACAATGCCGCCGAGAAAGAAGGCAGCTGTAGCCAAAGCTGCAACGCTACCGTTAGACAGCTGCAGTATCGCTATCAGCGGGACGTTTCCCAACCGAACTCAAGCAGCTATTGAGAGAGACTTCATCACTGTACTTGGCGGATCTCTAGCCAAGTCTATCACAGCATCGACGACCCACCTAGTTACCACTGAGGCAGATTATAACAAGCCTTCAAATAAGGTCAAAGCTGCACGATCATACGATGTGCCCATAGTTACTTTCGAATGGCTTGAGGATTCGCTGAATAAGATGAGTCGCATGTCCGAGGATTCATACAGCTTTGAACCTCCCCAGTCCCAACCTTCTCAGACCAACGGTTCCCGGAAGCGGACCGCAACACAGGAGCCCGCAGGTGATAGTGACAATGACGACGAAACACAATCTCAAGCCAAAAAGAAGAGCAAGACCTCAAAGGTCAAAGCCCAAGCACAAGAAGCCCAGGTGGCCGATGGCCAGATTGCCAAATCTCTGGACGTCAGGATTCCAGTTGATGAGGGCGTTGAGCGCCAGTTCACTAGTCACGAGGTCTATATTGACGACGAAGGTGTCATCTACGATGCTTCTCTCAACCAAACTAATGCTACCAACAACAATAACAAGTTCTATCGTGTCCAGGTATGAGTTTTGATTCTCCCAGTCACGTCACCATCCACCAAATCCTACCGATTACCATCACAGTTTCCAATGAAATGGGAGACATACTAATACGAGCCCCCTAGATTCTCCGCTCCGTCACTGGCGACTACCGTACTTGGACTAGATGGGGCCGAGTGGGAGAATACGGCCAATCGAAAGTTGTCGGCGATGGGACGCTATCTAGTGCACTTCGTGAGTTCAATGGCAAGTTCAAGTCGAAGTCTGGCCTCCCGTGGTCGAACCGCACGGATCATCCAATAACTGGAAAGTATGCTTTCATTGAGAGAAGTGTGAGTAGCATCCAGTTACATTACCTACCTAGTTATTTTGTCTTTCTCATATTGACTCTCTCCACTGTCCAACAAATACTTACTCGAGGTGCTCCAGTATGAACCAGACTCGGAAGATGACGAGGCGAAAGAAGCAAAAGAAGCTACTATCAAAGACGAACCTCAAGAGGAGCCAGAATCTAAGCTGTCTAAGCCAGTCCAAGAGCTGATGCAACTTATCTTTAACCAGCAATATTTTGCTGCGACTATGGCTGAATTGAACTATGATCCCGAAAAGCTGCCCCTAGGCAAGCTGAGTAAATCTACGATTACTCGAGGTTATCAAGCCTTGAAGGATCTCTCGGCTCTCTTGGATGACCCATCATTGGCGACCACCCAATATGGCACTAACTTCGCGTCGGCAATCGAGCAACATTCAAATCTCTACTTCACGTTGATACCTCATTCGTTTGGGAGGCACAAGCCCCCGGTCATTCAAAACCCTGGCCTGCTCAAAAAAGAAATAGAACTTCTTGAGAGCTTAGGAGGTATGAAGGATGCATCGATGGTCATGCAGATTAAGCAGATTGAGAAGATGAATATGCTTGACAAGCAATATCGAGGCCTAGGCATGGATGAAATGACTCCACTTAGCCAGAACAGCGAAGAATTTGTCCAGTTGAAAAGTTATTTGATGGACACACGAGGAGCAACTCACACCGCCAATTACCAAGTGGCGCAGATCTTCAGAATTGAACGTCAGGGAGAAAAAGAACGCTTCGATGCTATGCATGGTGCCCCTCGAAACAGGCGTTTGCTCTGGCACGGCTCTCGCTGTACCAATTTCGGTGGCATCTTGAGCCAGGGGTTGCGCATAGCACCCCCCGAAGCTCCAGTACAAGGCTATAGGTATGTTTAACCAAGACCCGTCGTCTTCCTTTCAGGTTCCTATTACTGTCTCACAATTGATTGAAGCTAACATGTCTGCAGTATGTTATCCCACCTTCTCTTATGTATACTCAGATATTCCAGTCTATGGGTTGGTTTTTGAACAACCATAGAAGAGGGGCAGAAGACCTTTCGCAATATATTAACATGTATTAGTGTTCGGAAAGGGCATATATCTAGCAGACATGTCTAGCAAGGTGCGTGCTGTAGTTCCATGCATGAGGGAAAACATTGACACCTCTCATAGTCTGCCAACTACTGCTGTCCTTATAACAGTAACGGGCATGCGCTTTTGCTTCTCTGCGAAGCGGAACTCGGAGATCCCCTGCAGAAGCTCACCAACGCTTCATACAACGCTGGGGAAGATGCAAAGGCTCAAGGAATGCTGTCGACTTGGGGCCAAGGGACAACGGGCCCAACTCAATGGAAAGACGCGGAATGCATACACCCATCGTTGAAGGGCGTTCAGATTGTAAGGAGACCTTAAGCATACGTTCGCTTTCATCTACTAATCTAACTGGTTCTGTAGCCTGATACCAGCGTCAAACCTGGCAACACGGGTGTTCCTAACGCCTATCTTCTCTATAACGAGTACATTTGCTACGACATCTCCCAGGTGCGTCTGCGATACTTGCTTCGGGTTCGAATGTAGGACATTCAGCCCCGCTGATCAAGCGCTACGCTCCCACGGTTATCTGGAGTAACCATGTATTGCTTGGCGAAATATCAATTCGACTAGCGTAAGGCGCCCGCAAGTTTATGGGCCTTGTTGATGGAAACGGAATATCAGTCAACGGATTTGGCTTTTGCAGTGACTCTATATTCATTTATGCTCGATAGGTAGCTGCACATATCGTTGCAAATTGTGGTTAGCTACAGTGTACCTAATGAGGGGGGGATTCGGAGGGTGAGCACCATAAGCCACTGCGTGCTCCTTCCCCGTGTGGCTCGGGAAATTTATGAGAAATGGAAATGGGGATGGGAATGGAGATGAAAATGGTTAGACACTTTTAGCTTTCGGTGTCATGGCAGGCTTACCATCTTATTGCTGACATGCCTACACAAAATAGATCCTGGCAAATTCAGATGATTTACCTTACAACATTCCAACAGCCGTGAAGGACTCGCTTTGGTAACCATTGACATTTTTATTCGCCTTTGGGTACATTCTATGATTAGGTAAATATTGCTCTGCAACTATTATAGCCATAGCGTGACTAATTATCTATGTAAAGAATACTGTCAGTTGCATCTACTTGGGCATGTCAAAAGTATGCCCAGCACCAGGTCCAGAGATAGGTGAAGACGGATATTATTGGAAAGTTCAGTCTGGTTTTTTCTGCCTGCCAGTTAGTACTAAGACTGCAAGAGTACTATTCTTTCTTGCTTGCTTCTACTAATAATTTTGTAACGAACGGTTGCCAGTCTATATGCAGTAAATATGGCCTACCGTTTACGGAACAACTTGACGTCTTGGAAGTACATATAGTTCTTTGAGTACCTAAGGAGAGCAAGTACAAGTATGGACCAACAGTGATCCTGGAGATGGGAACGTACCTAGGTAGTGGTCAGATAGTTTTCACGTGTTCAGTTGAAACGCAAATAAGCCATAAAATTCCGAGAAATATTTTCAACAAAAGAAAAGAAAATAGAGAACTATTTAAAATCAACCAGCTACATGATGTGCGGCAAAGAAAAAAAGTTGGAAGTCCCATTTCTCTGGGAAGCATCAGGAATTGAGCCCGATGCGGGGGTCGAACCCGCAGCCTTGAGATACCAAGCAAGCTTAAGAGTCTCACGCTCTACCGATTGAGCTAACCGGGCCTGGCTGGAAGGAGGTACGTGAGATTTGAGCTCCTATTTTCTTGTTGTGAGAGTTTTTGCTATTGCTCGTTAAATACAACGTGCGAGTTGTGGGTTAGGTCTATGCTTGTGAGTCATCGTCCCCTAGGACCCGCAGTCTAATAAAATTTAGTTGACCTAGCTGCCCTGGATTTTATTACGAGAGTGGGACGTCTTGAAAAAAAGACAATTGGCAAGTTACATAGTTTCGTGGTGGTGGAGTTCGTATGTTCGAAGGTGTTTTTCTTTGCTCTATTTTGATCAATATCCTGGGCAGGAATAGCAGAACGTGGAAGAAAAGGGGGGATTTACTACTAGTATGGGCTGAGCCTCACGAGCGCTGAAGGTTGCATATACCATGAGCTCTAAATCTCCGAAAACCTATGCTGCATAGGTATTATCTCTGGATAGCCTGAGGAAATTGTCAGATGGAGATATGTGAAGATCCAACAATATTTTGTATTGTATGTGTTAATCACCATTCAATCCGAAGAACACCGTAACATAGGAATGTACCTAGAGGAACCTACGAAGCAAGGCATGTATCATGTATCAGCAATTACAAGTTTGTCATTGGGACGGCTAACAGAATGTACAGTACAAATTGATTTTGTAAAGATATCTAAGGATATATGATGCTTGCGGACTCGAAACCTAAATAATCTCGACCGCCCTGGCACGGGCATGCATGGAGAACGCCATTGCTTTCCGGGATTTTGCCTTGGGGTAATGGAAATCTCATCGAACGCCATCTTCCATGCAATTTCCATCTACATGAGCCACGCCCTCAAAGCAAACATGGACGAGTGAAATTGTATGTGAGAAATACCAACTCAAAGTTACCGCCGTCGTAATCGTACTGTCGAATGTTGTTGTCGACAAATATTAGTAGCTAGCCCTTTAGCGGCCTTGGCCGAGCCGTCGCTTTCGTTCTTCCTTTTCTCTCTTAAGTTTCTCCTCAAGCGCTTTCTCTCGTCGGTCCTCCTCGAGTGCAGCTCGCTCAGCTCTTCGCTCCTCCACGTCGATATCCGACATACCAGCTTCCATGTCACTGGATCCGTCGGAGGCGTATCCGTAGCCAACACCTCGAGGATCATCCTCTTCTTCGTCATATTCGATAAAGTCATCCAAATCTTCGTCGTAGTCGTCTTCGTATTGATCTCGGCGGCTTGGTTTCGGAGGTGCAAGCAGGCCACCGGGTCGCACAGGGCCTTTCTTGGATGAAGATGATTTGCCTGATGCTGCACCAGGTCGAGGTCGCGCAGTTCCAGTATAGCCTGTAGTTGCCGTGGCAGATTTCTTGATCTTCTTCTCCGGTACTTCGCCCCCTGATGAACCGGGTCTTTGCTTGCCTAGGGCCTTTCCATCCTTTGACGCGCCACGAGCCGTCATTCCAGGCCGTACTGCTTCACGGGAAGACATAGTAGAAGGCCGACCGTTTCCAGCCAACGGTTTTCCATCCTTGCCCTTGACTACAGCAGACTTCTGTTCCGCCTTTGCAATCCGCTCTTTCTTGCTACCCTCGATAGCCTTGTGCTGGATCATACCAACTTTACCCATTGTTTCTTGAGCCTTTTTTGCACGTGCCATGATCTCCTGGTACGAACCCTTCTTTGGTGCCTTGGACGGATCAGAGGAGGTTGGGGTTGTGGGCGATGACCTCGCAGGTGGTGCTTTGGAAGCAGCAGCTAGTGAAGCCGAACTAAGTTTCGGTCGAGGAGCAGAATTTGAAGGCTGCTTTGTTTGAGATGTGATGGATGATGATGATCCAGGCTGAGGTCTGCCGTTCGAAGAGGCGGCTACTACGCGCGGACCAGTTGGCACGGGAGGTTGATAACGGCCATTTGTAGATATAGAAGGCGAATTTGTGCGATGTGGCAAAGACGAGGATGAGGGTTTGGCGGGTGCAGAGGTTGCCATTCTAGATCGGTCAAGGCTATCCGCCTTCACATCACGAGTAGTCTTACTTGCTGAATAAGATCCATCTTGCTGTCGGGACTTGGCAAGTTTGTTGGACGTCGCATTTCGTGAATCGTCTTCTGCTTTGCGCTTGAGGCCGGCCACTGTTGGTGTCTTCGGCGGTGGTGCGGAGGATGGATTTCCACCTGAGATCTCCGCGAGAAGATCGCCAATCTGTTTGCGCGGCATGTTAAGAAACCGAAGGAACTAAGGGTCGGGAAGGATCAGAAAATGATACATACCGGCATCGTGACTAATTTGACCGCCTGCTAGATTACAGGAGGAGTCCTTGAGAGCGCAGTTCGATTGCCGTCAGGAGCATACGTTGTGCCTGAGGCGTCATAAGTTGGTGGGCTGTGTCATGTGTGATGACTCTCTTCTCTCGACCAGATGAGACCTGAAAGTGAGTGTGAACGTGGCCAGATTGATTTTCTGAGGCTGCTGTATGTTTCACCAGTGGTCTCGAGATAAATAACGGATACGGTGGTTTCTCGAGCGCACAAAGAGGACAAGTATCTAGAGGGTTGTTGGGAGTAAAAAATGGTGGTGATAAGAGAGATGTTTGGACAAAAAGAAAGTCTCGTGCTGTTTCCACTCCTACAAATCATTCAAAGTACGAAGTACATGTACTTTCGTGACTGAGCCTGATTCACTTTGCAGGTACCTAGGTACCTTGCAAACAGCAAACAGCAAACGCGGAATGTGGCTGATTTACGTCATTTCAAGGCGGTAATTCGCTATTGAAGGAGACCAGGTGTTCGTCAGCTGAAAGGGCAAGCCACATCTCTCTAGCAGGGGAAGCGCGACTTTTGATTGGAAGATCTAAACTTGCAGGGCGACCCTAATCAGGTGATAGGCGAGGTTCCACTCTCTGGAATTTGCCCACAGGAACCACAGTCTTTAACTGCGCACCCAAAACTTTGCGGAAACTTTTTAACTCTTCCTGGCCGAATAAGTCACAAAACTCCCACTTTGACCTCGTCACACCGAATTCCATACAGAACTCGAAGGCTCAGTCTCCGCCCAATATTCGCGGTTAAATCGATTGATTTCTCGTGTTCTTCTCATCTACCTCTCGTAAGTCGCACCAATTTCAGCTTTTGACGCACATCTAGATTCGTTGCGACTTAATAGATTCTATCCCCGCTATACTTGTCGCAACAATCATCTGCGAACAAAACAATCCTAACTAACAACTACCCTACGCACAGAAACAACAACAATCAAAATGAAGCACCTCGCAGCTTACCTTCTTCTCGGCCTTGCCGGCAACACCTCTCCCTCCGCCGATGACATCAAGGAGGTCCTCGAGTCCGTCGGTATCGAGGCTGACGACGAGCGTCTGGAGAAGCTCATATCCGAGCTCGATGGCAAGGACGTCAACGAGGTTCGATTGCCCGAATAATATAACTCACAAAAGGTAGCAAAATAGGCTGACAAGATAATGTAGTTGATCGCTGAGGGCTCCGGCAAGCTTGCCTCCGTTCCCTCCGGCGGTGCTGGTGGCGGTGCTGCTGGTGGCGGCGCCGCTGCCGGTGGTGCTGCCGCCGAGGAGGAGAAGGCCGAAGAGAAGGAAGAAGGTATGATTCAGACTTACTGTCTTCTACTTTGGTTAGATATGCTAACATGTGACTTTAGAGAAGGAAGAGTCCGACGAGGACATGGGCTTCGGTCTGTTCGACTAAGCAGCCTTCGCAAATGGTTACGAAAACAACGAATCAATGCGGATTTGGAGAAGTGGCACACAAATGGACTCTGGTGGTCTGGCATGGTATCCGGCGTGGAGGGGTCTGCGTTTCGTCGATTCATGCATAGTAGGATTCTACTAGGGCTCCTAGGAACGGTTAAGGCAAATACAGTCCTGCTTCTCTAACTTTTCGTCCTCGTCTCTCTTTCTATTGACCTTGTGAATGCACATGCGATCGTTGCCACTAATAGATGAGTCTATTCTGATTAGAATGCTCGTCCTTGTCGTATTATTACTGCCGTTACCGCTAAACTGTCGGTGGCTTAATTGTATGCGGTAATGACTTGTAAAATCGACTACTTCCAACCTATGTCTTTAAATATCTGGGCCACCTGGGCCTCTAGAAACCCCAAATTTGTATCTCATCGCACTGTGACTTTAATTATTTTGGAGGGGCTTGGTGGGATAGATTTCCCGTCGGTCTCCATTATGCAAGTTGATTATCTTTATCTCGTGCAAATTACATAAGCGGAATGCATCTAGTGCGCATGCGCATTGTATAATTTCCTTGGGGAGATCTGATTGGCTACCAAGGTGAGAATGTTACCCGTTGCTCCTGACAACGGGGTAAAAACGAAAAGAATGCCAAGCCAATGGAAGCAGGGGAGTCAACCTTACTCCGGAAACATCCTTCAACATCATGAACGCGCCCCCAATTACTTTTTGCATTGCACGCCCCATTCCTCCAATCTTGCTATCCTATTGCCATGTTTTGAACTATGACCGGCTTCGACACGTAGAACATCAATTAAATCGGCATATACGAATACTAATCCGCCAATTCGACGCGCTTGAATTTGGAATTCCATAGGTTCATAGTTGTACAGAGACTATACCACGATGGCGTCCGCATCACCGACGCCCGGAGCGGCGAGTCACAACTCGGCCGCCGTCACCAGAAAAACTTCACTTAGATCGGGCTTGAGGAGGCCTGCGTCTAGATCGCAGCTCAGCCGCGCAGAATCAAATATTCCAGCACCGTCAGCTCACGGGTCCAAGTCGCAATACGAAGGACACGACAGTTCCGACGACGAGATCCCTAAGCCTATGATGCTCAGTGCTCTCACTAGAGCTTTTCTCAACGAAGGAGCCGAGCCGGAGAGGGAGCGGGAAAATGGACGTGTTCTTAGGACTCGAGCACAAAATCATCGCACTTCGTCGCCGGTTCGTGCGATAGAGGATAATAATAAGCCTGTTAAAAGGCGCAGTGTTTTGGCTGCAGCAGTAGCATCAATTGGCGAGGAAAGAAGACATACGCGTGCTAGTAGTGCGCAGG